GACTCAAGGGTCCCAGGTTCGATTCCGGTCAAGGGCATGTACCTGGGTTGCGGGCACATCCCCAGTGGGGAGTGTGCAGGAGGCAGCTGATCCATGTTTCTCTCTCATCGATGTTTCTAACTATCTATCCCTCTCCCTTTCTCTCTGTAAAAATCAAATCAATAAAATATATTAAAAAATAAAAAAACATTTTTCTTAAAAGTGACCTGTTTTATTACCTACTAGTTGCCCAGTGAACTAAATTAGTGCACTTGGGTGTGTGTGTGGGGGGGGTCCCTCAGCCTGGCCTGCGCCCTCTGGCCCACCACTGCTGCTCACCAGCAGTGAGCCCAGCTTCTGGCTGGGTGACGCTCCCGCTGTGGGAGCGCACTGACCACCAGGGGGCAGCTCCTGCATTGGGTATCCGGGTTGTTTTGTCATTCAGTCGATTTGCATATTAGCCTTTTATTATACAGGATTACTATATTTCATATATTACAGCTTCAGCCCAGTGGCAGTGGCTCAGTTGGTTGAGCATCGTCCTGTGCACCAAAGGGTTGCCAGTTTGATCTTCAGCTGGGAGTGCACACATGGAAGACAGCCGTTCAACGATTCTCTCTCTCTCTCTCTCTAAGCATGTCCTCAGATGAGGATTTTAAAAGTTATAGCTTTCATAACTTCTCTTACTTGCACAAATTAGAAGAAAAATAGCCCTAGCTGGTTTAGTTAAGTGGATAGAATGTCAACCTGGGGACTGAAAGGCCCAGTCATGGGCATGTACCTTGGTTGCAGGCTCAATCCTCAGCCCTGGTCAGGGTGCATGCATGAGGCAACCATGGACCCCACCAGCACCTGCCTTGGCCTGGCACTGCCCGTGTCCACTGCCACACACCCCCGGTTCCCCGGTTTCGTGGAGCCCCCCCCCCCCCCCCTCTGGAAATCAATAGAAAAATATCCTCGTGAGGATTAACAACAAAAAAGGGAAAACATTTTACTTATGTAATTCCCAATCAATACTTAACAAAAACTTGGGCTATTCCTATAGTTTCTGACACCATCTATCACCTGTCAATCCTGTTTATCAAAGCCTTTATAAAATGTGCATTCCTACCCTAGCTGATTTGTCTCAGTGGATAGAGCATCAGCCTGCGGACCAAAGTGTCACCCCAGGTTCGATTTCAATCAAGGGCACGTACCCCAATTGCAGTCTCCTCCCTGGCCCAGGCCCTGGTTGGGATTGACTGCCCACCGGCCAGTGGCCTGGCCTCCCTCTGCAGAGCCATCATGGGGCAATGGCGAGGCCCCCCGACCAATCGCATCGCACCAGCCTTGGCTGGCCTGGCGGCAGTGCGTGTCATAGTGTGGTCGTTCTGCTATTCGGCCATTTGGTCGATTTGCATATTATGCTTTTATATGCAAACATGCTAAATGTCTGTCAGGGTATTGACATTAAGTAGCAACACCCGGCTTCCTCTCCCTAGCGACTAGCCTCCTTGCAGTTTCTTCAGCCCAGGAACACGACTTGCTTTACAGTGAGGTGCAAACATTATACACTGTAACCAAATGTCTGTGAAGCGTTTTCCCGTGCCTCGTCTCATTTGATCCTCACAGAAGTCCTGGAGTAGGTAGATAGGAGACTGGGTTGAATCCTATTTTTTTTTCATTAGCCAGAAAACGGAGATTTAGAAAGTTTAGATACTTGACCCAACTGAAAAGAAGAAATGGTGGACCTTAAAAATGACTTCAAGTTTTCTCACTGCTGCAGTTAAATATTTTACCCTTTGTTCTCCCTGCATGATCTATAATAATAATCCGCTTCCTGTTGATATTTACTGCTGTGTTGCTGACAATTACCTGAAAGTGAAGTTGGGGTGCTTCACTGGGCTAGAAAAAGTTTAGCTAAATCAGAAAGCAGGTCCAGCCCTAACTGGTTTGTCTCACTGGATAGAGCGTCGGCCTGTGGACTCAAGGGTCCCAGGTTCGATTCCAGTCAAGGGCATGTACCTTGGTTGCGGGCACATCCCCAGTAGGGAGTGTGCAGGAGGCAGCTGATCGATGTTTCTCTCTTATCGATGTTTCTAACTCTCTATAAAACTCTCTGTAAAAAAAAATCAATAAAATATATTTTAAAAAAGAAAAAAAGCAGGTCCAATTAAGCAAGTTTATTCTCTATCTATAAAACGCTAAGGTAATATTACACATCTTAAATTGTTGAGATAAGAGAGATAAAGCATATAAAGTGTTTAGAATCTGGAAAAAGCATCTGGCCCTTACTAAGCCCTCCACAAAGATTTTGCTAAGCAAAATAAGCCAGTCAGAGAAAGACAAGTATCACACGATCTCACTCATATGTGGAATCTAATGGGAAAAAAAAAATAGATCCAGAGACACAGAAGCATAGAACAGACTGCAGAATCTCAGAGGGAAGGTGGGGCGAGAGTGAGTGGGTGGGAAGAGATCAACCAAAGAACTTACATGCATATATGCATAACCCATAACAAAAAAAATCCTGGTTCTGAGCCCAGGCTCAGTGGATAGAGCATCAGCCTGGGGATGGAAGGGTCCTGGGTTCGATCTCCAGTAGGGGGCGTGCAGGAGGCAGCCAATTAATGATCCTCATCATTGATGTTTCTCTCCCTCTCCCTTCCTCTCTGAAATCAAGTTAAAAAAAAAAAAAAAAAGAAGAAAGAAAAAAGACCTAGACTCCCAAAGATTCTACCTTCCCTCAAGGTGTTTGCCCATGCAATCATGTCTGCTTTTCTTGAGATGCAGATTCCAAACCTTTCACGTTCCTAGTCATCTTCCTTTCACATGTCTTCCGAACATCCTAAGTTACTAACCCAATGATAACAGCTCTCACTCACGGATGAGCACCAAGCACTGGATGGGATTGCCACTTTGTATGTATTACTAAAACTCACAAAAATCCTATAAAATGTATGACTTCCCCATAGAAATAGGAACACTCAGATTAAGCTGCCCCAGTTATACATCTTTAAATGAATGACAAAGCCTGGTCCCAACCCTCTATTTGACTCCACAAGTCAAAGATCCAAGCTCATTTTATGCCCGCATGGTAGAACTATGATGCTCACTGCTACTTCAGCATAACTAACAGCAGAATCCTGCCTCTACTCTCGTTCATTTTCTTTACTACGGAAAATCCCACCTTTCTAAAGCATTTTACGTATCTTTGACTCCCCAGTAAATTCGATTGAGAGTTAAGGTCGTCAC